CAACCATACGCGTCATAACAGTGGTCAAAATGTTGTGGACTCACGAGGCGCAGCCTCGTGAATCCACATCAAATTTTGACTACTGTGATGACGCGTATCGTTGTCGATATCGATAAGAGTACAGACCACGCTAAACCATATTTCGATTTGTTTTTTACCACAATATCAACGTCAAAGATACTGTTTTTTTTAAGAGCGCGAGCATAAAATATGGTTCTTTTGTCAAAATGTCCAAGGTTTAAATATAAGATGATTAGCACTTACAGTTGTAATTGAGCATTTTGCTCCGACACCTGCAGGAAAACAAGTATTGCATGAAGTCATTATGATGATATGAGAGGTTTTATGACTGCAGCTTAAGAAAAGATCTCGAATATTGACCGACTTTCTACTAGCTTATGCAAGTTCTAAGACATAATTTTCAATTTTTATGATAATGTTACTGGGAGGGAAATTGTTATTTTGTTTGGAGAGGTTTCTCGGTGACGCGGGAAGCCAAAAAGTTCCGGCCTCACGGAACATCTTATTTGCTGATATCGAACCAAATCTCCTTTAATCTTTGAGAAAATAATCAATACTGCTCGCCTTGTCTACCTCAACAGTGTTTCTGTTTAAGAAACGTGATCGAAAGAATTGGAATCATATCTACGTCACCTTTTCTTTTGATCTTAATTCCTCTCTCATGCTCTCCAACTGTGTTCGGTCCCTTTGTCGCTTTTCACTGAAAACAATATTGATAATCATATAAGTCTGACTTCGAATCCACTGTGAACGCAGTCCATTTAAAAAGCAAAGCTATTTGAAGGCCATTCACATTTCTTAAGCAAAACGTACGGAAACCGCGAACTCCTGTTTGCAAATTCAGACCAATTTTGTCGAGTTTAATTGAGGTTTTTTGATCAGTTAATAATGGTCGTAATAAGTCTCGAGCGATTTTCTGAATCTATTGAATTCGCTGAGGTGTATCTAAACCACCGGGCACACTAGCGATGGAAAATGTTACTTGGTGTGAGATAGCTTTCATTTGTGCCCTCTGTCTGGTATTAAGAAAATCCAAGCCTTCTTTATTAGTGCTATGTAAAAATTATTGCATGAGATGGATATGAGATGATGATAGCCAGTGAGTCGTGTAGCGCCGAGCTGGCTACAATCATTTCATACTTAAAAACGCCCCCAAAATATAGAAAACTAAAATAAAATAAAGATAAAAACGCCTTCCAAAATTAACCGTACGCTTACCATATTTGTAGAGCATGGTATAATGGCTCTTGTTATACCTCCCAATTCAAATACGTTTTCCGATTGGACGAGAACGTGTCACGTGTGGTGGGTCAAAACTCACCAACTCCCTAGGGAAACAACAATTTGAACTTTCGACTGGCACGTGATCAGGTCGTGCTCCTTGAAACTGCAGCAAATTTGTG